CAAGGTCCCTTCCAGCCCTAATGTCTATGAAATCTATGAAATCAAATGAGTGTCAAACATTAGATAGAAAAATATGCATTTTTTGTATTTTGGGATGGGTTTTAGGATGGTCTGTGTTTCAGGATAGATTGCCATAATATAAACTGCTACCTGAGGTTTTAAGTAGAAGGAAAACTACCCCTAGTGGCCCTACTTTCTGAAGAGGGCAAAATATGTTCCTTAGACATGCAAAATACATTTATCTATGGAAAAACATTGAAATGGAAAATTATAGCAACTAGTGAATGAAGCAATAACTTTCATCTGTGGATCTGGAAAAAAAAATCACATGTCATTTGACTCCTGTGCTGTATCAAATTCCTTTTTCTATTCCAAGAGCAGATTATCCAGTATAAATACTATGACCATTGAATGTTGCTGCATATTCAGTTTCTTGTTGCCAGACAAAAGCCAACAACATAATGGATTTTATTAATAGGAGTGTCACTTGCAAATCAAGGGAAGTGATCCTTCTGTTCTGTTCTGCTCTGGAAAGGCCTCACCCAGAGTTCTGTGTCCCAATTTTGGACCCCACACTGCAAGAAATGTGTGGATGTATAAGAATTAGTCTGGCAGAGAGTAAAAAAAAAAAATTAGATTCCTGGGAAGGAACTTATGAAAAAAGGCTGAAAGAGAATTCTGAAGAAGAATCTGAAGTACTAGAAGGGTGATTATGAAGAGGATAGACTACTCTCTGTTCGTGCCCATTCATTAATGTGCAGTAGTTAATGTGCATTTAGTTTAGTACATCCTTAATGCAGTACTAAACTAAATGTGCAGTAACCACAGTTACTGTGCAGTAGTGCCAGCACACTGTTTTTCTGTGACCATTACTGTGCAGTAGCTTATTAGCACAGTTTTTGACCAGCACACTCCTGCACAGTTATTAGGCTACCATGCAGTAGGCGTCTCATAGAGACACGCCCTCTGTGACCATCAGGGAAAGGCCAAGGAGCAATGGCCTCAAACTGCAGCAGAGGAAACTTAGGTTGACAATCAGAAAGAGTTATCTCATGATAAGGGTGGCTAAGCATTTGAACAGGCTACTTAAGAGAAGTTGTGGCATTTCCATTCCTGGAAATTTCCAAGAGCAGATTAGATATACACTTGACTAGGATAGTTTAGTCAGAGATGCCTTGAGCACAGGGCTGGACTAGATGACCTCCTGAAGTCTCTTTCAGGTCTACTTTCCAATGATTGTATGATTTCATAGATAGAATAATATTGGGAGGCTGCATAGAAAGAGTTTAAAGAGATTTGAATGATCCTGTTTGGAACAGTGTGGAATGTAGTAACAAGACATTCCAGGCATGAGATGCAGGCTTGAAAAAAAGCAAGAAGGTGAGAAGGATACAAAGACAATGGTAAGGTGGGTGCTTTAAGGAGAGCAAAAGAAGATTACACTTGATCTCAGCATTCAAGAGGCCAAGTGCAAAGCCATAAGAAACACAGTATTGCACTGAGTGGGAAGCCTGAATTTAATATGGAAAACTAATAGAAACTAACAGAGAGATTCAAAAAGAAAATGACTGTTTTGTGTTTGCAGGTGTTTTAGTTGGACAGAGTGGGAAGAAGATGGGAACCTACTAACAGGGGAGGCCATTACAGTAGTGAGGACAGAAGGGGATTATCTTTTTACCCACGTGGCTAGAAAGGAAGGATCACATTTTTAGAAGTTGTCAAAGAAGAGTCATGACACAAAAACAACAGAAATGTGAAGCAACTGAAAGATAATAAGTTGAAACATTCCTGAAATCATGTTTTGCCAAGCAGCTGGTGGTAAATTCAGATTATTAAACTTAAAAGGGAATGTAAATCCTAACTGAGAGACTAGTTCCTAATGAAGTACGCAAATGTTTTTATTCATGTTCGATTTTTTTCAAAATTATATGTATTTTCTTGAGTGAGCAAAATTAGGCTGGAAGAAGCACTGTTGAAAACTTTCTAGGACTTCCTTCTCTGATCAGGCTGGACATGCCTTAATAGTTTTTTCTCACTGCATTTCAGTACCTCTCACTACAGTTCACTTCTCTGAAGTCCCAGTTGGAATTAGAAGCTGCAAACATGAAAAATAATTGTGAAAAATCATAGCTAATTTTTGCCAAGCATCAGAAAAGATTTTGTCTCAGGCTTGCAAGTTTTGGATGAGGATTTCTTGGTTATTACTGTGCCCAAATCTGTTTATACCTCCCTAGAATCCAAATGAGACTACATGAAAAATTTTAAAAATGTTACTTAGATGGATTTCATGAGCCAGATCTCAACAAGTATAAATGGGAGTAATTCTATTAAGTCAGTGGAGTTATACCAGTCTATACCAGCTAAAACTATTCAGAAGGCAAAAATAACATTTTTGACACTCCAGTGCCAACACATATTAGAATAATAAGTTACACTGAGTCCATGTGGTATCTCACTTATCTGCTTTAGAAAAATACTTAAACAACAAAGAACACTTGCTATCCTCATTACACCAAGACAGAACTGGTATTGTGAGGAGCCTCTGTGATTTACTGTTGCTTTAAAAGTTTTAGATCGATTTAAGAAAAATTTAAAGCTGCAAACTGAATTCTGTTTTTGCAAGATTTAAGTAAGAGAAGGAAGGAGGATGGAACTTTTTCTCTTGATGCATTTATCGGGGTGTATAGTTTGAGAAGAAAAAGTGAGTATTAAAGTTTATTACAGCAGTGAGAAAAGGTTGCCATATATCCTGATTATGGGACATTTAAGTGTGTGTGTCTATAAATACTTTACAAGGGCAAGCCTGTTGTATTTGGCTTCGTCATCCTCACTCTACAAAACATGTCTTTGTACATTTATTTGCTTGTTCTTATATTCTTTTCAACTTTTTTCCAAGGATTTCAGAGAACTGTAGCCATTGCAGACTCCAACTATAACTGGTTCTATGGGCCAGAAAGCCAGTTGGTATTTCTTGACAAATTCGTCATGCGCAACGGCAGCGGGAATTGGTTGGCTGATCAGATTAGAAAGAATCGGGTGGTGGAAGGCCCAGGGACTCCATCCAAAGGACAGCGGTGGTGCACTCTTCACACTGAATTTCTTTGGTATGAAACAGAATGAATGAGTTTAAAAGAACCATGACAGCTGCTTGGCATTAGTGATTACATGTTCCTTTCAGATTTGTAATGGACTGCAGAAATGGAGATTATACTAGCCCTGTGAAACCCAAACTGTTTCCAGACAGAATAGAGGTCAGGACTGAGGAGAAATTCTGCATGTCATAAATATATGTCCATATATATAAATATTTACAATGCACAGGTCTTATATAGCCCATTTTCACTTGTTTTCCAGCTGTTGTCTGTTCTGGACAACCAGTTTCAAAGGGAATGAAATTCTTATATCTAATTACCTACATGGGTCCTAAAAAAATCATTTCATTAGTAGTATGGTTAGTTTTGTGCTTTGGTGGTTAATTAGAAGAACATTTGAAGTCTGATTTTTTTTCCTTTACATGTAGTAAAATTAGATGCTCAAAGAAGTATGTATTCTTTAAAAAGTGGCATGTATATTACTATCTAAGGAGAGGTTTGAAAAAAGAGGGGGAAAGCTGATAAAGCACATAAGGCAGTTTTTTTATATAATGTACACCTTTGTTCTAATTTGTGAGACTAGACCACCCTGCCACAGGCAAGAAATGAAAATACTTGAAGCTTTAAAACACTGATTGCTAATTCCCACTAGTTACTTGACATATACAAAGCTAAAGGGTTAATTTAGCATAGTATTTTCACTATGAGCAACATGTATGTTTAGTGGATATGATTTTATAATTATGATGTATGAGTTAAAAATTCATGAATAATTCCCCAAATATCCCTTGATATGGTGCTGATTACCTATTTAATAGAATGTGTTTTCTCTACTGTTCCCATACCCTCCCTTTCTCTTCTTATGAGAAAGACAGCCTTACTAACATCAAGAAGTGAGATGTTTGTAGTGGATTCAAGGCATGGAAATAAGCCCTAAACATACTAAGACTTCCTTTCGTGGAACCACCTTGTTCTTATTCTGTATGATGCTGTTTTGGTCAGAAGAGACACTTGTTTTGGAGTCTTTAGTAAAGAAAGTAAGCTGGTTATATAGGGCTATTGACTATGGAACAGTGTTATGCATTTAGTCATCTGGAGTTTTTAGCCTCAGAACATGTTACAAAGCTTGTGTTTATGTAAAGTAGCAATTCTCAAGTGGAGTTCCATGAGATCCTTTTAAGAGTGCCATAGGGTGCTGTGCAATACTAGCACTGTTGGAAATGCAAACATGTACATATGTTTCACAAGATACATTCAAAGATATGAAATAGTATCAATAACATTTGGACCCTCTTGTTTTCTGTCTGAGTTCTTTGCAACAAAATTGTTCTATTAAACGAAACACACAAAAAAACAAGTGATAGCTTTTTTTTTTAAATGGAGTACCACTAAATTCAGAAAGGTATGGAGAGATGTTTTAAGTCTCACAAAATTATGAAACAGCGATGTAGGGTCTGGAAGAATTTTTTGTAAAGTAGAGAGAGGAATTTTGATGGAGAAAAATCATTTCATTTACTGCTGTGGAGATAGAAGTCTTGTTGGGGCTTTACATTGTGTTTATTTATTGTGTTCCCTTAAATAATGTCAGAGACACTTCATAGGTACCTTTTTTAAAGAATAGTGTAAATATATTAAATTTACAGAAACAAAATGAGAACAATCAAAAATATAATATATTATTTTTTTAGGCATGAAGAGTCCTTTTAAAGCTAAATATATTAATTAAATCATTTCACATACATATTGACATCAGAAGTTTTTCTTTAGCCTCAGAAGAAAACAAAACTATGATAATTTTTTAAGTGATCATGTTGATGATCCAGGAAATATGAAAGAGGCAAACATTTTTGCAGATGATATTTTTTTGGGGTCAACAGCCCCATTTTTTTTGTCATCCTTTTAAAAAAATAGCGGGAGTATCTGTTATTTTAAATTTATTCCTAATCTCTTTTGCAAGGTCCAGACTTCCTATCCCCTCCAATATCTAGGCTGTTTTCAAGCTACATCTTTTGCAAGATCCAAGTTCAGTTCATCTTATTTTAACTGAATGGGCAATAATTGCACATTCATTTGAAGAAAAGAGCCTCAGAATGCGTTGATGTCCAATAGAAAACTCTTTTTTTGCAGTTCAGGATGAAGTCCTATAGCAAAGTTTTTAAGATTTCAATAGTAAACATATATCTGTGTGATATGAGCAAAATCTGTTCCCATGATGAAATTATGGATAGCTTTATTTGATATATGGTGAGATCTGTATGAAGATTATTGCAATGAGTATCATTGTGTAATGTGCTCATTTTAGCAAGCATACTGTGGACTTTATATTGTAAAACAATTATTTAGTTTAAATATTGCAGAAAACCCTGCATTTTGGAATAGGACTGAAAAATAGAGATAAAGCAAATAACTATTTTATATTTACAACTATATGTAAACCCATGTTCTTTGACTCTTAACAGGTATGATGCAAGTTTGCACTCTGTACCTCCACCAGACTATGGAATTCCAAAACTACATTATTTTGAAGACTGGGGAGTTGTAACATATGGAAGTGCATTGCCAGCTGAAATCAACAGGCCCTTCCTCTCCTTCAAATCAGGAAAGCTGGGAGGACGTGCAATATATGATATTGTTCATAAAAATAAGTACAAAGAATGGATCAAGGGGTGGAGGAACTTTAATGCCGGGCATGAACACCCTGATCAGAACTCCTTTACCTTTGCTCCCAACGGTGTCCCTTTTATTACAGAAGCCCTGTATGGGCCAAAGTATACCTTCTTTAACAATGTGTTGATGTTTTCTCCAGCTATGTCAAAAAGCTGCTTTTTTCCATGGGAAGGGCAGATTACAGAGGACTGCTCATCAAAGTGGTTGAAATATAAGCATGACTTGGCTGGGGACTGCCAGGGTAGAGTGGTTGCAGCAATGGAGAGAAGTGGTGTGGTTTTTATCAGGGGAGAAGGAGTGGGTGCTTACAACCCAAAACTGAAGTTAAAACATTTCCAAAGAAACCTTGTACTTCTACATCCTCAGCTTCTTTTGCTGGTGGACCAAATTCATCTTGAAGATGACAGCCCCCTAGAGGCAACAACCAGCTTCTTCCACAATGTGGATATGCCTTTTGAAGAAACTGTTATTGATAATGTCCATGGGGCCTTTATTAGGCACCATGATGAGATGTATAAGATGTACTGGATGGATGATGCTGGCTACAGTGAGAAAGCTACCATTGCCTCAAAAATGTATCCTCGGGGATATCCATACAATGGAACAAACTTTGTGAATGTAACAACCCACTTGCGACACCCAATCACCAGAGGAGTTTACCTCTTCATAGGACCTTCCATAGATGTCCAGAGTTTTGATGTCCGTGGAGATGCTGACCAACTGGATGTCTTCGTAACAACTAGTGAGCATTCCTATGCAATTTATCTGTGGACAGTTGAGAATGGAGCCCATTCTGTCTTTGCACAAGTTATCGCAGACCGACAAAAAATTATGTTTGACCATGTTTCTGCCATTAAGAGCTCTGCAGTGCCAGAAGTGGAAGATTATGTGGGCATTGTGGAACAGAATCTTCAGAATTTCAAGCCTGTTTTCCAGCAGCTTGAGAAGCAAATCCTGTCCCGTGTGCGCAACACAGATAGCTTTAGAAAAACTGCTGAGCGCCTGCTGAGGTTTTCAGATAAGAGACAGACAGAGGAGGCTATTGACAGAATATTTGCTATCTCCCAGCGGCAGCAGCACCAGCAGCAAGGCAGGGCAAAGAAAAGCAAAAAGGTAGCCAAAGGCTACAAGTTTGTTGATGCTGTTCCTGACATTTTTGCACAGATTGAGGTAAATGAAAGAAAAGTGCGACAAAAAGCACAGACTCAAGCACAAAATGAGCTGCCCGTGGATGAAGATGAGGAAATGAAAGACCTTTTGGATTTTGCAGATGTTACCTATGTAAAGCACAAAACTGGGGCATCACTCAAAGGTCGATCAGGACTAGCACATATGATGACCACTGCCCGAACCAGTGCATCATTAGTATCAGCTTCGTACACCCGCCTTTTCCTAATTCTGAACATTGCTATTTTCTTTGTCATGCTGGCAATGCAGCTGACCTGCTTTCAAAGAGCCAAGAGCCTACATGGCCAAAGATGCCTTTATGCAGTACTTTTAGTTGACAGTTGTATATTATTGTGGCTGTATTCATCTTGTTCCCAGTCACAATGTTAACAAAAGACCATGTACTACTTGACCAGTTTATGGTCATATATGTCTATGCAAAAGCATTAACCCTAATAGGGCCAGAGTTTGTTTGTTCCTTTTCTGAAACATTCCAGGAGGCAGCTGGGGAGAGATTGATTTCACACCATGAGAGGAAGGAAAGTAATGGGGCTCGTAATGCATTCCTCTGAGAATTAAGTGCTCTTCATCTGTTCTTTGGGTTGGATTTAACATCTGAAGGAATGTTATGCTTTGTTCATCAGAGTACATTATATTAAGCTGTAATTAATTTTTGCAAGAAAGAAATAGAATCCTCTTTTATGGGACTTTTGTTTCCTAAGAGCTTTGGTTTTATACACAATTTGGTTTGCATAGTTTAATTTCAGACTGCTGCAGAGACCTATAAATAGGCCCTGTTTTAATTTGCAGGCCCAGCTCACTAATATCCTGGCCCAATCATGGCAGGGGCCACCATTGTCATACCCAGATCATGGCACCCCATCCCCTCCCCAGGCCCCCTAATTGTCTGAGGGGGAAGATTTAAGGTCAGGTTTAATTGCAGCAGCAGAAGCCTTGCTCCCAAGGCCTCAGCTCACTGCTGAGAAGCCCATGGCCCCCACGCCTCCTCCCCCCCAACTCACTGGACTAAGATGTTTTTGGTTTGCCTGGATTTCGTCTTACTGAAGGCAGAGAGTAGCATGATTGCATCAGGGAAGCAGGCAGGCAAGAGGCTTTATCCTGGGCTTGGAAACTGCTGGCTTCCTTGGGCAGAAAGCCCTGGTGCTAAACTGTGTGTGTGCGCACATGCGTATGTTCTCTCCCCCCAGCCCCTGGCACCCCAGTTTTCCTACCTGGAGAAGCAAACAGCCCCTCCCCTACCCAGTGCCAAGGCCCAGAGGATGGAGAAGGCAGGCAGCCCTCAGGTGCCCCCAACCCTCCATGCAATCCCCAGGTGCCCTAGTTTTCCTACCTGGAGGAGCAAACAGCCCCTCTCTTACCCTTCCCCAAGCTCTTTCCTCCCCCTGTCCCTTGTGCAACCCCTTCCCCCTTCCCCTGGGCTGCCAGACTTTTGCTGCTGGCTGAAGAATGCTGGGGAAGTTGACAGCAAGCAGCCATATCATGGCATTTAATTGCAAATCACATTTTTCATAAAAATCACTTAATTTCATGATTTTCACAACAAAATGTGAAATTGCAATTTAAGCCAAGCCCTACCTATTAATGTGGCATCCTTTTTTCAAAGATAAGGTGTGCAGAGAGCTGCAAGTAGAAGATTTTATTCTTTTCCTTCAAACAGTGGCAATGCATAGGGGGTGCACATGCAGCCTCTGACAGTGCTGGTGTACCCCCTGACAGCAGTGTTCCTGGGCAGAGGGGGTGCAGGCGAAGCACTGGTGCCCCCTTGAGAGCATTGGCTGGGGAGGAGTGTCCCAGGAGAGGCAGTGCCCCCACGGCCGATCCCACCGACCAAGAATTGCCAGCAGTGCACTGCTTCCAGTTGTGGGTCAGCAGAATGAGACACAGGGTACCCCAGCCCAGCCTGCGGGATCGGTCACAGGGGACGCCCCCCAGTTGCTGACTGTCCTCTGGGGGGGAGGGGGGCAAGTGCCCCCCCGACTCAGGAGGCATCACTTGCCCATGCCTTCAAATCAGAGAGCATAGAGCAGCCTGATCAAATTACTTTAGAGCCCATTTATCATGATACCTCCTCTGTGCCTTCAAAAACAGTCACTGTAGGAAAGAGCAGTTTGTTTCACTGGTGACTGAGAGAAAGACAGTTTCAGTGATCAACAGATGCCAGAAAGAGGCAGCCAAGGCCCTAATTTTATGTCTATACATCTTTACTGTGGAGTTGACTAATTAGCTGTGTAGTAAAACATCACAGTCTACACATGCACTGATATTAGGGTGCAGTAAATGAACTCCAACATAGAACAGTACTGTAACAGACAGTACTATCCTTGGCAGAGTAATTACGTGCACTCAAATGTATGTGTAGACTGTGATGGGCTGGCTGGGGCACAAGGAGGCTACAGTGCTGGGGCTGCCTGCTGCCTAACCCCACACTGTAGCACTCTCATATCCTAGCCACTCAGAACCTGGGGCTGATCCCTCAGGTCCCCTGCCAGCCCAGGGCTGCTTTGCCCCAGCCCATAGTGCTGTGATCCTGGGTATACATGTAAATGCTGTGCCCAGGAGCAGCTAACTCCAGCGTGTACTATGAATTAATTGCACATGTAGATGCACCCAGGGAGTATCATTCTGAACCTCTTCCCATTTCTCAAATCAGGTGAAATTTGGAAAAGGGTGAACACTGCTGTCATTTGTTCTTGATTTTATAGAACAGAGTTTCTTAAACCTTTTCACAGTTTTAAGCACATCTTAATCAGGAAATTAACTTTTAGGTCATCTTCCCTTTCAGATGCTATTGGAAGAAAACCCTAACCATGTGGCAACTCCATTAATTGCCTATGTGGGGGGAAAAGCTGTATTAAGCAAGTATTTAATGTATTTATAGCTATTTATGTAACTGGAAACACAGAACAGCTAGAACCATGCAACCAGGCAGCTCTCTGCCAATCATTAGGAACACAGGGATGAATAATTTGGGGATTGCAGAATAACATGGCTTCTGAAATAAATTAGTTTGGCACCCTCACTTGCTCAGTTTGTGAAATTGATTATAAAAAAAAAAGCTATAGATACCTGGGAAGGGATTCAGAATGGGCAGACTATAGAGCTGATATATTTTGTACATCTATACATCAAAAGAAAAATCAATCGTTTGAGTACATTTTGCTAAATAAACAAATTATAATTTTTCTCTTGCATATATTTGTTTTCCTTTGTTGACTAAACTATTTGTCCTAGTCATTTAAGAAATTAAGTGATGGTTATTAACACTGGGTTCAAGTCACAATACACTTGTGGATGACCTTCTCTGAATTTCATCTTTTGGGTTCCTCCAGCTAAAGATGACTTTTTAATGGAATTAAGACAGACAAGATACATTTCAAATGTGGAGACACCCTAGGAATCTCAATGTACAAGTGGCTCATTGGTTGTTGCACAGGTTGGAATAGGACCTTGTTCAGTGATATAGATGCCTAGAGCCTGGGTAAATGCCTCTTAGAGGTAAAATAATATCTGGCCTCCGGAGTTTAATAGTGTCATCTAAACGAGTTGTGTTCAACTTCTGTCTGGCAGACCAAATCTGGCCAACAGAGCCATGCCCTGCAGCCGTCAGGGCTCCCCACAGGTCCAGAAATTTGGCAGTGGAAGTGAGCAGTGGCCGCATTAACTGCCACTCCCCTGCTGCCAGATTTCCAGACCCATGGGAAGCCCTGTGGGCTCAATAATGTGGCCCTGCACACCAGATCCTATTCCACCTTAAAAGTTTTCACAACAGCTAGTAATAACTATGTGTGTCACCTCAGTCAAATTCTAATCCACTCAAAAGTCATAGACGTACACAGAGAAACAAATTTTCAGTAGTAGCTACAGGCACAGCTTTTGGCTGAACAGGAAAGTGAGGGTGATCTAGTTAAAGATTAGGCTCTGACCCTGCTCTGTGTAGTCATAGCTCTGAAAAAAAAATTCTTCATTTTCCCTTTCCAAAAACAAGGTGCCTATCTTGCTTGGGGACATAGGTGCCAACTCCATGGGTGCTCCAGGGCTCAAGCACTGCCCCCCAAAAATTAACTTGGCACCCACAAGCCACAGCTGTTTTGGTTTTACACGATCCATGTTAGATCTCTGTTATGTTAAACACTTCCCTAGACCAAGGTGTTACAAGCTTAGTATTAGTAGGTGGCAGAAGCACGTTATGTGGCTGCAGAGGAAGGTGGCATTAGACTGATGCACCGTGATTCATGGTGAGGTAGTGGAT